TCACAACTTCGGCTACAAATTAATGTTAAAAGTTTAGTTTCTTCTTCTAAAGAGTGGAACGGAGCTGATAGTCTCGTCAGCTTGATCAAACTCCGCTCCAGTACCCAGCAAAGTGAACCTCACTGGTCTGTCCAGTTCCCTGGTCCGCCCTCAGACAAAGTTCAGCTTTCTGACATCGTAGCTGCAGACACGCCCTGCAGGAACTGCATGTGCTTGCTGAGAAACCACGCAGACTGCAGGCACCTCAGAACAATGCTGACTGTGCTCCTGACCATCGCCGTCGCTCTCCTTGCTTACATGTTCCATCACATTGTGGTGAAAGGGAAGAAATGCACAAGCAAAGTCGAGCTGCATGGGAAGACGGTGATTGTAACTGGTAAGTACTGGTTGAGCTGTGCTGTGATCATGCTTTGCTCTTACTGACTTGTTCTCCTGCAGGCAGCAACACTGGCATAGGGAAGATGACGGCCATAGATCTGGCTACAAGAGGAGCCAGAGTGATTCTGGCCTGTCGCAGTAAGCAGAGAGGAGAGGCTGCTCTCCAGGAGATCAAGCAGGTGAGCACCTCCAGGTGAACTGGGTCTGTCTCACCCAGGCAAAGACGATGAGCTAGAGGGAAGTAAAGATGAAGATGAACACCCTGAACTAAAGCCGAGATGTTTCCTCTGATGGCCGTGGCTAAACCACGATGTGTGACACAAAGTGTTTTACAGCAAATAAAGAACAGACAAGAAAACAGACAAGGAGCACACAAGATAATGTGAAGATCAATAAGTTTTAAAACGCTGACGGTAAGATGAGTGACCTGAAGAACCACACGAGCACTTCAGTTTATTTCTATAGATCAAGTCACAAGTCTCACTGACTGCAGCTCTGCAACCCAACATCGACTAAACAAGAACTTCCTGTTTTTCAGAATAAGTTTTATTATCATTGCACCGAGATATGAGAGCATGCATGTACAGCCGTCTGAAAGATGGACAGAGTGCACGAAGCTGCTGCTATAAAGCGCGGCCTTCTTCTTCTGCAGAATAATATTTGTAGATTGAAAAGGGCCAAAGCCATGAGGAGAGGGTAGTGGCGTTACAAAAAGACCTCTTCACACCTTGTCCTAACAGGACACGATTTAAGACGTCATAAAAACTCTGCCAGCTAAAACACGTTTATGAACTCGTACATGTGCATTTACAAACGAGGCGGTCCATGAAGCACTAGATCATTGTGCTGATAAGATGATGGTCAGCCCGTACAGTTCTGATGAGACTCCAATAAACAGCTTTTCCTTAGTTTACACATTTCCCAGGAGAAATTGACAAGTCGGCCTGTTCGAGGCCAGCCGGGGAGAGATTCAGATAAACCACAAGTGTTGTTTTATTCAGGCAGAACTATTTTCTGTCAGCCTTGAGTCTGTGCTGATAAATTTCAGAATCAGACATTTCCAAGGTCCAAATGTCCAGATTAGGGTGCTTTCTACTGGTCCGTGCTTACGAGCCTCTTCAAGATGGTTTTTCATGCTGACGAGGCCCAAATCATCAGGTGGCCTGTGATTCAAATCACTTCCAACTTACGGTTTAGCTCGTAAATCAGCTGATTCTGAGTCCTCCAGCACGAACCTTCACAAAGACAGAAGCTGACGAGGTCCAAATTATCTGCAGCCGTCCTCTTTGTACGTTGATAATCCAG